GATGAATGAAGTGTAAGAAACGGTCATTTCCAAATGAATAAATCGTTCCGATTAATTTTTGTTATTAACCATATCATTGAAAAGAGTGTACATTTTATAAGAATGTTAACATTTTACCCTGTGTTGATGATTGTTGTTATGTGCAGAATGCTAGACACGTCATATCTTTAACATTTCAATGACAATTCCAGATGTGTTACATATTTGGTATAGCGTTTGAGATACTGACTTTGTAATTTCGGTGAAAAAAAAATCGAACGTGAAGTCTTTTTTATAAAAGTATTGTATTCTTTACTTGTAATAGATGCTTTGAGTGGTGTTATTTTGTGCTGTCAGTTAAAACAAAATGACAAAACGAGGAAAGGTCGTCTGAAGGGAATTCAATGCAGTATTTCACTAAAAGGATGATAATAATGTTTTATGTCGCGGTAACGTTAAACACTGTCGCCAAACACTATTGAAATCACTAGTTCTATAAGATAACGTTACATGTTATATTTACATATCAATGCGTATTTTCTTTAAGTGTTTTTATAATAAATGTGATTCGTCTTGAAAATATAGGACTTAGTTAAGGGGAATAAGTTGACATGGTTGTATTTCTTGGGTTTCTTTTTTCAGTCGTGAACGTTATAAGGTTTCCCTATCAAATCAGATTTAGTCCGATTTGTCCCTTAGCATGTCTTTACCTAAACCTTTCAATGTTATACAAAACGAAATAGCATTCAACAACACATTTTATTACCAAATATGAACATTTTCGTTGTGCAATAAAAATATACTCATATAAAAATGACAACTATTAATAATCCATTAGGATATGCATCATTGCTTTGAGTCCACTTGTATTCATAACACAAGATCATCAGTATGTTCTCGTTAAGTTCTTTCAGAAATGAACAATTAATGGTACATCGCCATGGCGTGTATTATCCATTATTCTGCCATTTTCTTTATCTTTGTAAGCCTTGTTCCTAGTAGATTCTGAAAATAAAAAATGTGAAAATATTAACATCTTGTTATTATAATTGAAATTTTAATCATTTATCCTAGAATTACTTTTATCCTCAACCATCAAATAATTTCCTGGGATTTACCAAATAAATCATATCGACTAAAATAACTTTCGGCGAACAATCCATTCCCTAAATTCATATGTATTGATATACACTATTTCTTCCCTAAATTCATATGTATTGATATACACTATTTCTTCCCTAAATTCATATGTATTGATATACACTATTTCTTCCCTAAATTCATATGTATTGATATACACTATTACTTCCCTAAATGCATATGTATTGATATACACTATTTCTTCCCTAAATTCATATGTATTGATATACACTATTACTTCCCTAAATTCATATGTATTGATATACACTATTACTTCCCTAAATTCATATGTATTGATATACACTATTTCTTCCCTAAATTCATATGTATTGATATACACTATTTCTTCCCTAAATTCATATGTATTGATATACACTATTACTTCCCTAAATTCATATGTATTGATATACACTCTTACTTCCCTAAATTCATATGTATTGATATACACTATTACTTCTGAAATTACAATAACTCTGCTAAATATTTCACCTTATTTCTTATTACATAACATTAATATGATTTATCTATACAGCAGATTGAAAGTATATAATTACCTCAGACTGATTTTTGGCGGTAACCGTCTGTTTCATTTATCGTGTCAGGTCCCGGAACATGTCATATCGATGACATGAACATCGCTTTGTTTTGTTACATCAGATTTGTAATAGCCCTTGTTGCGAAAATGTTCTTGGGTGACATTCCCGGGCTACATAACATCAGCTTAATCTACCTCACATAGTGTCAAACTCTAATAGTTTATTGAACTCATGATCTAAGTAGCCCAAATCGTTCGACTCCTCAAGTAACGACAGAGATTTCTGTGGCCGACCAATGTCAATACTCTCGTCGGAGAAAGCGGAGTCATTTTTGGTGAAATGGAAATGTAATTCTTCATCGCACGATAGTTCTTCCGACTCTTCGTCCGTGTGGTATAAACTGTCCTCGCTCACAGGAAGGTATTCGTCGGTCTGTCCTTCCATCTCGTATAAACTATCCTGGCTGTCCAGTGATTCCTTACTCATCAGACAGATATTGTTTGCCTTGAGTTCCTCTACTTTTTCATTAAGGATCAACATTTGTCGCATCAGTCCAGCATCTTGGTCCATCAAACCCACCTTTAAACACAAAGAGATAATGTACTTATAGATCAAAGGTTCAAACTCATATTTTAAAAAACAACTTTCATTCTTGAACGAATCCCCGAAGAAAACGATCGATAAGAATATTTAAAGAAGTAAAAGTATCATTGAAAATTGAATACAACACTTTTGGTAACTTGAAAACCTGAAAAATATCAGAAATGATAGAGAAATAGATTGTAAGTGTGTGTTAATATGAAACAATAGAATATAAACCTTGTTTCATGAGTAATGCTTACCATCTCCATTCTTAGCCGAGCTAGAGCGGTTCCAATAGATGTTGTTTGCTCATTTGTATCAACTGTCGTCGATGATCTTTTGCATTCCTCAATAGATTCCATCCTCCTCAGATACATCTGACGGCAGCTGTTGTTGATGTCTATTCCATCTAGACATCTAATTGGTTCTTTCACGTTTACTCCCTCATCTTGTATTTTCTCGGTCTGAACCATGGTAAGGCTCTATATTTTCAAGTCAAGTCGCAACTGATGATTCTGTGTAAATATTGAGATTTTAGTGATTTTGTTGTATATATATATAAAGTGTTAAACCCCACGCGGACTTGTAGACAAAAGCTTTGATAAGTATTATTGTAGTCTCTATCTGTAATGACAGTAGAACAAAAGACACAATACTTATCGCTGTAGGGGAACCCATTAACGAGTTAATTGTGATTCCTCTTGTCACACAGTAATTTATTTACACAATAGTACTGAATATACAGCGACCTCCCCGAAGCAATTAGAAAGGGAGAATAACCTAGAGTTGCGAGGCATGCAAATTTTTGAGAATATTTTGAATACTTCTGTACCTTGCAACATATCTATGAAGTAAAATAGACAAAACCATAGAAGTATATAAACTAATGGGTTGTTAGTATATGTCCCCCTGTGTTCTGCTATTATTAGCTATTAGTTCCATTAGCACTGTCGAATTTACCAGCACCCTCTAGACTTCAATGATTCAGTTGGTTATCATCATTTCCGAGTCCAAGAAGGACGAACCAGTTGTATAATGCCGTTAGTTTCATAATTGGACTATACCGTATCTAATTCAAAATTTGTAACGAAAAGGGAAATAAATAAAATAAATGAAGGAATATCTTCTATAAATGGATATAAGCATATAAACATGTATGTTGCCAACTGTATATGAAAGCTTCAAATGGATATTGATAGGTAATGTCGATACCTCCGTAGATAAGACGAGGACTCCAGTGGGGGTTAAATTACCTCACTAATTAGTATCACGGTTAGAACCAAGCCAAGCAGAACATATTTGTGGCACTGCGAGTGTCATTATTACCTACCAAGGGAGGTGTTATTAACACAGTAGAAAGAACAGCACGTGATATTATGTTCGAAACAATTATCAACAATTTCCAACTAAAAGATATGTTTAAATACAAAGCCCTGAAAGTGAAAGTCAATAACACACGTAAGAATATGCTCAGAAACATAACACGTCCCACTGTTGCAAAACGTTGTATGTGTATGTCACACCCAAACCTATAAAATACAAAGGAAAGCAATTAGATTGCAGAAAGTATGCTTTATTCTATAATATTTGCTAAATACATTTAAAACACTACTACGGTGTCCTAATTAGACTTGATCAAATTACCTTGTTATGTTTTACTATTGCGGAACATCTGAACGTATACCACTTATATTTTTTTCAGGAGTCCCTGTGTAAATCTTCCTTTTGCTCATGTTTTGCACTAGTTTCTTCTCATCGAATTAGGATTCCGTTAACGTGTGGTTGTGGTAAATGTTTTTTACGCCAAGAAGTGTAACTGGTCGCTGTTTTAGAGACTTCCAAACGTATTCATGGTAGTAAGCGGACAAAACCTTTTGTATACATTTTGTTCATAAATTCAATAAAGAATATTGACTAAAATGTAAGTATAGTAATTCTTATCATGACGATTTGTTTACCAACAATTTCAACAGATTATGTTTAAAATGATACAAAATTATACATATGTTACCTGAAAAAAACCCGCATCGTGTTATCATCATTCAAATATTGTTTTATACAGTATATATGAATTCTCTGGATGCATGTTTGATACACATGGAATCGAATATTATTTGAAACTCTTACAAAGATCGAATCAATTATACATATTGAATACATATGCTTATTTAGGAGATTACTTGTAAATATTTACAAACCAGGTTTGTCAATTCTGTATATTTTTTTTCAATATACATGTTTCGTAACAGTACGTCTTTCCGATGGGATTTGGATGAGAACAACACAATTTTTTAGTTTGTTGAGTTATTTTGTTAGGAAAAAATGAATCACAATGTGTTTGGTAACCACTACTTTAGGCAAGTATGTTCACTTTTTCCTAAGAATGTGTTTCTACATGGTGTTTACTAGGCTAATTGAAACTATTTTAGCGTATGTTCACTAGAAGGAGAAGTTTGTGGAGAGAAATTTACATCAAAAAAATGTTACCCATTTGGGGATTGTATTGTATTCGGAGTTCATAGTGAAAACTATGTACAAGATGTTAGTGTTAACCGAATTTTGTCTGGTCATGATCCAGATAATCAGCGAACTGAAACGACGAGACGATGTTTGTAAACAAGTTTTCTAAAACTGTTCAGCCTTTATGTAATTTGATAAAGCAAATAATTCACTAACGTGTTTCGCTATAAAAGGGTATCCCGCTGAATATATAACAGAAACTTTCCAACCGAGTGTGACAACATGTCGTTTCAAAATTTGGAGATGGAAAAAAGTTATTTATCGAGATCGGCTTCCATGGACAGTTTGTTGACTGAAGATGAAACTGAACTGATGAGACAATATATGCATTTTTATAACGAAAGAATCATCACTACAGAACAATTCAAGAAAAATGTAATGGATTCAAGGCCAAGAAATATTAAAGAACCAGTCTTAGACACGGCCATGGATACTCTCCGTAAGGAAATGGTAAGTCGTTTTAGCCGTATAGAAATAATAATCAGTCTTCAGTATTATTGTTTTATAATTGTTGTGAAATTCTACGCAATATTTAGAATAAATAAATGAATGAATGTCCCTTTGTATCAGTTATAACATATCTTTATTTTCGTAAATGTTACAAATAAAAGTATATAAAGATGTGTTTATTATTCTATCAATGTTTAATTTATCCTAATACAGCATTTTGCATATCTTCATTTTTTGTTTCATCGAATAACGTTTATATATATAGCAGTTATTGTGAAAAGAGATTATATTTAATTGTATCTGTTCAAAGATTCATCCCGTTTAGTCTAATCTCAAATAGTCTTGATGTATACTGTAAAGTATAGGTGTATAGTTAAATAAGAAATGTAAATACGGAATATATATATATTTAAATTGCTTCATTCATTAACACCTGGTGTTATCGTATGTGTTCAGTTAGTATTAAATTTAAGTTAAAGATATTTGAATCATTGTTTACATTAGTACAATTTCTACATCTCACATTCCTTTCCATCATCATCTTGTTTCATATTTACCTGATACTTATACGGTAATACGTGTACTTTTAAGTGAATTGTCAGTGAGATGATAAAGGTACTTCACCAATATCGACCAAATCAAAAACAATAGAACTCTAGCAACATGTGATGTAGAAAAACGTGTCTTCTTCTGCAAGTCTATGTCATTTTACATTATACGAATTTCAAATACTATCATTTACATTACAATACCAAATGTAAAACTGTGTTGGTGAATCTGCGATATTGTTACTTAAGAATGTGTTATTCTGACCTGGAATTCCCGGGATATCATTATTACCAGAAAGGTGGGCGATTCAGAATGAAACTAGTTGAATCAAGTTGCTATGAAAGGCAAGTGGAAATTTAAATCCCGGTCTCAGATAACTGAATCTTGAATATAATCATGCTATTTAATCTTTAAACGCTGACACACGTTCTAATTTCAGCACAGGAAAACGTCGTAAACATCTTATCTCGGTCAATATATTTAACCATGAAATAACAGTATGACTTAATAACACCTGTTACTTTACAAACAAACAATTACACACCATTTGATCAACTTATGATTTGATCTTCCTAATTGCTTCAGTAAACAGCTTTTACAGAAATCCAAATATGTCTTTACAGGCTGCAATGATGGACAAGGACCTTGAACTTGCTAAACAGCTTCTGATCCTGCACGAAACTATCGAAGATTTACTGGCAGAGGATAACAACTGTGAAACATGTAACAGTTCTGACACGTGTTCAGAGATAAGCATGTGTACCTCTTGTTCACTTAGTAAAAATACCTTAGAAGATGAGCTCAGTGTTTCTTCAGATGAGTCTGCACACAAAAAGTACTTATCAGTCGACTCTGAGAAGGTTGACAGATGTACACCTGTCAAACAACTCAAAAGACGAAGCCACGGAGGCCATCAGAAACAAAACTCAAATGATTCGGGATATTGTTGCATTTTCCAAGATCTTGAAGTGACGATTTAATGAAAAACTGAAACAACTTCAGTAATTACTCAGGACATTATCATAATGGTTGTATGTATAAAATGTTATGTTTACTCAGACTACAGGTAATATTGAGCACGTTACTTCACGTTTCTGTATTCAGATCAGTTGAATATTAATGTTTTCTGTTATAAACCTTCTTGTTGTTGTTGTTGCAAATAAATATGTATGATAGTTCTACTTATTGTGTTACTGTTCTTAATAAATACGTTGTAAAATGGCAGTGTGAATATATGAGTGTAATACCTTATATTCATTGTCTTAATCCTAAGGCCTCTAGCATCGCTGACGAGTCCTCAGAGGATGGAACAGATTCAGATTCAGTATTTGGTATTTTTTTTTTTTTTTTTTTTATTTCCTAATTTTTATTGATGCGTTATTCACTGCTTGTTAATATTTTGTACAACCAAAGGGAAAGACAGATAAAAGAAACTTTTACTGTGAAAACACACCAAAGCCTCACAAAATTAAAAGGCTAACAGTAGCTCACACGTTTCCGAATGTCATCTCCCTTATACTTAATTGCAAACCGTAAGGACCGGCACATATAAAGTGTACACATAGCAAGAAAGTTGATTACATAACCAGGTTACATCACCCAAAAAGACGAAATTGTAAAGGATCTTCGTTATGAAAGTTAGGAGTTAATAATATAATAATAATAATAAAACACTGAGACAAAAAATCTCAACGGAATGTATAGTTGTGATGACCCATATTTCTATTCTTGTTCAGACCTTATGTAATTCTAATATTGCCAGTGATTCAATTGGTCCCACATAATACATATTATATATGTTTATTCATTGGAAAACCAAAACAAATCTTCGTCTAAGTAGGGGAGAATTAGTTTTCTAATTATAAGTTTGTTAATTATTTTAATCCTCACACAGACTTTTTGCGAAATACTATTGTTGTATAAGATTATCGCACCTTGAGGTGACAAAGATGTGTTAGATATTCTATATCTAAAGATCAATCAGGTTTTAACACTTGGAGGTGGTCTTACTGTGGGGTATAACATTTATACGGTCCAGTATACCTCAATACCAAACATCTTTACACGTCAACAGTACAATATAGTCCCTGTTTTCAGGGTCACTCTACCTTTGTCTAGTCTTTCTGTGGTGATCATTCGGTGTTGTATCGTGAAGTCTAGTGTGTGAGATGATAATATCAAACATAGCGATAATAATCTATGGTCATTCGACAAGATCTTGGCGTGGTGTGATACAACCACAGGCAGAGCATATGTTTAAAATTACAAGTATATGTTTAAAATCATTGACACCTTCATGACAACAAATCCTACTTTAACCTGAAAATAAAGGATTTTCTTTTTCAGATTTCGTTATTTCCCAAACTTTAATCATTTCAGATTTAAATCGATCGTATAAAGAATTATAAAAACTGGAGCGATTACACTCGTTTTGTACAGTAAATTATGAAAGATCTCTTATATTAAGCTCACTAATCAGTTAATGAGTATGGTATCTAATTAACAACTGGTCTATAATTAAAACACCAGGAAATAAGTAGTCCAGAGTTTGTTGTTGCCTCCTACTTTGGTTTGGCACTGACCATGTTCATAATTAAAATTATCGCCACCTTTTATGAAAATTAAAATTTACAAATTCGTCGTCCGTTGACATTTCTGTTGTTGTCTGTGTAATAAATTTGAAACACAAGTCTTTGATCAGCACCTCATTCTATATTGAGGGCAGTGGATTTCCAGGTCATTCAAAATGTTCAAAAACATGTCACATATTGAGTAAATGGTGTTTTAACATATTCGATCGTTTTGTACACTGACGAAATATATAATACGAAATGATCTAAACGAACATAACTGTGAAAAGAATTATGATTGATTTAAGCAGTGACATATTGGACAGTTACATACAGACACATATAGTTCCGATGAAGGATGAGCAAGGTGTTATAACTGCGAACAGTGCTTCAAGAATATAAGTCCAAATGCTTTTTACTGACAAACAAAGCTGCGAAAAGCATCCAGTTTTCCAAAATTTAAAGCAATATGCATTTCTTCAAACCTTGGGACATCATAAGGAAACGAAGCAATCAAAACTAATACCCGAGTGCCAGTATTAAAAATTTCGATAATAATAAATATTGACATAGAACATAGACAAAGAAACGGTCATGTTGTATAGGTATGTATTTAACACTAGTGTATAAAACCAAGAAATACCAACATGTTAGCATATTCATGGTTCAAATTCAATCAAACTAGGACAAGATATGAATAAAGGAAAGATTTACACTTAAACACATTGGATCTTCTCATAATAACCATCGACTATCTTTTGAATTTCTGTGTTATGACTTCATGAGTCAGTTGACGACATTTTGCACGAAAATCGTGATAAAGCACTCATAAAATAGATTTGTTTTAGTTTCGGAAGTCCCCGAGGTTTGCCGTTACCTGCTTGCTACGTTTTAATTCTCTCTAATGGTAGCACGGTTCAGAAAATACACATCTACTTGTTGCAATTTCTAAAATTATCTGATTTATGAAAATTACGAAATTTATTTAATTATAGGGCTGCTGCACCTCTCGGTCTAGATTTTGAATTTTCTTTTGATCACTTTGCATTTTCCTTAGTCGCCTCCTAGGCTTCAAAATTTTAGCATCACTGACAAGTCTTAGAAGGATAAAACAGCTGTATGATGTAGTTTAGTTCATGGTTTGGCTCTACTGTATCTCACTCTAAATTATTGGTGCTATTCACTTGTGTGTCGTTTGTATAATCGTATAAATGGTTGTTTAGAATTGTAGATATTGAACTTTGCAGTAGAAATAAGATACTGAATAGAGAGTTTTCATAAAAATGAATGGTGAATAATGCAATTTTATGCAGTACTTTCTTCTGAGATAACGCAACTCAACAAAATTTCAGATATTACGCGGAAACCAAATCTATTCAAAGTAATAGTAGCCTTGACCTTCGATTTACATTCCTCATAATTAAACCCAATGTTCTGTAACAAACACAAGTCCAGCATCAAGTTTGGAATAATTCAATAAAACAGAATTTCAAACAATTGTGCCGATACCGGTTTTCTTTACTTTAACCTTTGACCTACAGAGCTGAAAAACGATACTAAACAAGCATTTTATTCAATAAGCCATAACGGTAGTTTAAGTGAAATCGGAATCGCAGAACTTACGATGTTATGCAGAGATAGACGTGAGACGAATTACTTCCGACCTACGATCAAAATGATTAATTACGCAGACTCCTTTGATAACTTATTTGGTTAAATTCAAAATTATTCTTGGTTGATGTCGAAGGGACCAACTCATCAGCAAGTCATGTTACATGTTTATTTGTGTGGTTTCGCCATGGGAATATCAGTCATCTTATAGATAATATATCCAAATATTGTGGTCCTACCTCGGAAATCTATTGACGTCAACGTGGGGCTCCAAAGAGACATAACTCCTACGTCGTGTCTGCTCTTTTCCATAAGGTTAATGATGTTGTATCGCTGCTTAATGTTTATCGAAGGATGGGAGGTAACTCGTGTACAAAAACCGTGTCATTTTTTCAAAATGTTTTTATAAATGTTATTTTTTGATCGACTTTGTGATAATTTGGCTATATTACCACACAAGTTGTTTCTCACTCATCAGAGATAAGTAATTGACCCCTAACACCACTGTAGAGTAATCGTTTTACTGATGTATAACTAGACCTATATGTAAACAATAAAATAACAACGATGGACACTCGTGCCCTGTCAAGGCCTTTAACTCCAAAATGGTCAGATATATGAAATTACGATATTTATTGATCTAATGTGCTTTTGCACATCTCTATCTAGATTTTGACATTATTTTCGATCGTTTTGAATTGTCGTCAGTTGCCTCCTAGGCTTCAAAATGTAGCTCCGTGTGTGTGTCTTTCGTATATGTTACATAAATATCAACATAATCATAATCCTAACTCAAATTCCATAAAACTAGGACAAAATATGAACAAGGAAGACCTCTGAAAAAAGTGAAAGGAGAATAATGCCAGGTGTTCCGGAAGAGTAAACGTCTTCTGCTTCATCAACGACACCCGCCGTGTAAAACCTTGATCAATCCAAGTTAGTAATGTCACGTTCATAAATGAGAACAAGGTAGAAAACAACGAAACCAACAGGCAAACTGGCGAGTATTAAACACGTCAAACTTCATATAGCACAAAGAAATACTATCTTTTGAAACGCTGTGTTATGAGTTTGTCCGTCATTTGACGCCTTCTTGCACGAAATTGTGATCATGGGAACAGGCCCTTGAATACCGAATCAACAGCGACCTGTAAACACATATGTCGGTGCATTAATTCTTACATAAAACAAGGTTGTCGGTATAAAGATTTTTTTTTTTTTTTTCAAAATTTCAAAATATGAAATTTGCCCACGATATCCATCACAAGTCCCTCCTTTCACTGTTTTTATAAAAATTATAGATTGTACAATCATTTTGGGTTTCCAGCGTATTAGAAATTATCACATTTATGGTAAAATACTCTGGGTCTGTTATGAACGTTAATTGACCTCAACAAAAGTGATCCTATTACTTTTCTCATACCACAGTTGAAACAGTCTACCGTTACTTTTTGATTTGATGGTAAATTTTGCCTCCCTTTGTGCTAGCGAGAAATGCCACATAAACTAACAAACAGAGAATGAGAAACATGATATTTATTCTTATCGACACTCACCTACTATCGAGTTACTCTCGTGACAATTGATATAAATACATATATTTATATTGTTGTAATCATTCTATAGTTATGCAAAAATGATAAAGCACATGTGGAGTATAATGTAACATAATGTATCTGTTCAGCTGTGAACTATGTGACTAGCCAGTTACAGTTGTCTTTCTTCGTCAGCAAAATTAACGTAAGGTTACAGTGTTATTTTAGATGTAATCCTGTGTACAGTGTTATTTTAGATGTAAT